CTTCTTACAATTGATGATATTTCAATCGGAAGACTTCATAGCTGTTTTTTCTCCCTATCCTACAAGGGTTTTTTTCTGCCTATCCCTTTTTTTAATGGTGTAAAATATTGCAAGCAAGTCTCTAACATACCCCATTAAACCTAACTGTAACTTCACATTATACTTTGAAAATTCCAAAATTCAGATAAACTGGAAACAGGCATTTGATGCATTATCCCCCTCTTGCTTCTGTTCTATGTTATGACTGATTATCTTCAACTGGCTAGATCTATACAATTTATCTAAGCCACTTCTGTTGTAACATGTCACTATTGATTAGTTAATGCCCCAAAATCTCATTAGATTCGTGAAGAATTAGAGGATGCTGAGTATTCCTGGGTTTCAAGTCTAAACAATTCTATTCTTATATTTGTCTAGTAACTCGGATGTCAGATGCATGTATCTGAAGAACTCCCCCTTCCACCAACTTATTTGCATTTCCAGACAGTACAATATATTTGTTTTGCTACTGTTGAACCAAGATTATGTTAACTGCATTTCGCTCACTGTCTGTTTGAGGCATAGGCCAATGAAAGACAAACTACCTCCTATCATTTCCCAGCACATCAAAGAATCCAACTTCAGGGCAAGTGTCCGGATTGTAGGGTCCCAACAGAACCTGCTTGTGTAGTGCCACAAGTTTAAGTTTTTCTTCGTATGTTGGATGAAAGGCTTTGCCATCTTTCTCTGCCAAAGCAAAGAGAAGAATTTGGTATTACGATTTATTTATTAAGAGATAAACTTACACCAATATGAAAAAGCCTCACAGAATGGATAGGGAAACCTATCCCTTAAGTGTTCTCAATTTTTTGCCCCAGAAGAAATTATCTGCCCCTTGACTTGTTAAATACAAGTCCTATTATTTGGTCAAAATTAAGCGAATCTGTCCAAAATAGAAAAACACAGCTGTAATTACTGCAACATAATTATAAAGTGTTTTAAATAATGTATCCTAGATTGCATCTTTAGCAAAAATATGGTAATTACTGTCTAAATATATAAGTTACATAGACCAACATTGTATCATATGGATCTATAGTTTTCAAATATTTAAAGAGGCTTCTTAATGTGAATTTTTCACAAGTATGCTTCCCAAGTCCCCTGTAATGACATGGGGACGGGTTTCTGTATAAAGAACTAAGATTTTAATTTTACATTCCACAGAGTTTTAACACTGTTCTGTGTGTCTTGCTTTATGCCAAGAGCTACAGCAAGGAAGACTGCAGAAAGTAAACAATCCACAATTTAAGGGGAAAATCTTGCTTAAGGCAATTAAATTACTCCAACTGCCTTGGCAAATTGTGATACTACTCCACAATTAAGAGGCTAGAGGTGACAATTATCAAGGCTTAAATTGACTGGATTTCAGTGCTAGAGGAGAAACAGCATTAAAACTTATATTTACAGTACATTAAAATTAATTTCAAAAGTCTTCAGATTCTGTATCAATTCCGTATAGCACATCTTGATGCTGTCTTAGTCCAATCACACTGAATGCTTATTAGTAGAGCCATGCAAATCTGCAGATACCCGCTTTATATTAGCGAATCATGTTTGTGGATGGTTGCAGATACAAATTTTGTATCCACGCATGGCTCTACATATTAGCAAGAAAAATGCTGCATGGAAGATTTTTATATATAAACGCACACACACACATAATAAATAAACAAAGAGAGTCAACTAGGACTATCCCAGCATGTTTCACTAGCTGTCAAAACAAAGCAAAGGAACACCCATTTTTTGAATTATACTGCTTGCTGAAAAGACTTGTTTCCTCTTACACAAGACAGAATGAATGACATTTTTCTCTTTTTAGAAAGATTAGTATAAGGCAGCCATTACTGTAGATAGCCACAATACAGAATTCAAGTGAAAGGCCTACTGCACTCAAAACCTGTGCTTGCTGGTACTGCTTGTACAGTCATGAATTGCAGCCAAAGTACTTACTGGTTGGAGCTGTGAAATTGACAAGAAACCACAGCTTCCGGCTTGGAGCCCAGCTGCCCAAAGCTCCGGGCTGTAAGTTCCCCACCAGGAGCATGGCAGCCAACTGGACTCCAGATGGATTCACCCATCTCCCGGCTGGGGGGAAGCGGGGCTCCTAGCGGGGAGCTGCATGAGGCCCTGGCTCTCAGCCTCCCACACTGGCCCTCTTTAGTCAGTGGAAGTACTCCTGGTGAAGACACCCGCCACTGACAGAAGGAGGGTAGTGTGGACATCAGCCACCACAGTAATTACTGTGGTGGCTGTAAGTCATGGGTGGGCAAACTTTTTGGCCTGAGGGCCACATCTGGATAGGGAAATTGTATGCAGGGCCATGAATGTAGGGCTGGGTCAGGGGGTTGGGATGAGTGAGAGTGCGGGGTGTGGTGTGCAGGAAGGAGCTCAGGGCAAGGGGTTGGGGTGCAGGAGGAGTGGCAGGGGGCTGGAGTGCAGGAGGGGCTGCGGAGTGCGGGAGGGGGCTCAGGGCAGGGGCTTGGGGTTGAGGAGGGGTGTTGCAGGGGGTTAGGGGCTCAGGGCAGGAAGTTGGGGTTTGGGGTGCAGAAGAGGTTCGGGGGGAAGGCTCCAGCATGGCCCCGCTTGCCTCTAGCAGCTCCGGGGTGGCAGCGGCGCACAGCAGGGCTAAGGCAGGCTCCCTGCCTGCCCTGGCCCTGCACTGCTCCCAGAAGTGGCCGACATGTCCGG